CCCCCCCCAGCCAGGAAAACCTTGCTACATGACACCTCGGAGCCGCCCTGGGGTGCCCCCTCCGTCCTAAGTATCCACCGCAGCCTTGGGGGCCAGCAGGATGTGGGGCGTGTCCAGGCTGCCGGCCCAGGAGGGCTTCCTGCTCGGGGCCTGCTCGGGGCCCTCGGCCAGCCGGTCCCCGTTCCAGCGACGCTTCAGGCGCAGCTTGGGGGGCATGAGGGCGTCCTCCCTCTTCTCCAGAGGCCCCGGCTCCACCCCGGGCTCCTGCGCGGGGGGCTTCTCGGCGGCCCCTTCCTCCTGCTTCAGCTTCTTGGCCAGGCCAGGCACCACGGAAGTGCCAGGCCAAGCCGGGGCGGCCGGGTGCAGGAAGGGCGTCTTCTCCTGGGGCAGCTCCGGGTGGAGGGGCGGAGGGGCCGAGCCCTCGCTCTCCTCCCGCCCCGCCGGGACCCCCTCCGGGGAGTCGGTGCTGCCGGGCTCCTGATCGAAGGGCCGCTCCAGCTTGATCCGTGGGGGCGACAGAGGCGGCCCGGTGCCCCCCTCGCTCTCGTGCCGCTCCCGGTGTTTGCGCCCGGCGGGCGGGGGCTGCAGCTTGATGGGGAAGGGGGCCTGCTCCTCGGGGGGCGGCGGCTGGCAGGGCAGGGGCGGGATGAGGAGGCTGGGGTAGCGGGGGAAGGTCCGGGGGCTGAGGTGGTAGTTGAAGACGGAGCAGGCCTGCGAGTGCAGGTAGCGCTTCATCTCCTCGGGGCTGAAGGAGAAGCAGCTGCCGCCCCCGGGCCCGAAGGGGCTCATGGCCGAGGAGGGGCTGTAGGAGAAGAGGGTGGGCGTCAGCGACAGGGCGGGGGAGAGGGGCATGTTGAGCACCCCCCCGCGGGGAGGGAGGGGCGACCCGGCGAAAGGGCTGTGCGTGTCTGGGTAGAGGCCGGCCCGGCCAAAGATGGGTAGCACCAGGTCCGACTTGCGCTTCGGGTGCCCGACGGTGCCCGGGGCGGCCGCCGTGTTGCGGGAGGCCAGGAGGTCGACCCTGCGGTGCCAGTCGGGCGAGCCCCCGTCCAGCTCCAGCGCCGGAGACGCCTTCTCATCCACGCTGCCGTTGCTGAGCCCCTCCTGGCCCGGCGGCCCCAGGGCCCTGCCGGAGAAGCAGCCCGGTTGGGAGTCCTCGCTGGGCGACTGGCCCTCCAGGGGGGAGAAGTGGAAGCGGGACGCAGCCGTGGGCACCGGAGGGGCGCTCTGGGGCACGGCGCCTGGGAGGGGAGAGAAGAGGAGGAGAAAGAGTCAGAGGGGGGCCCCCAGAAGTGGGACTGGGCTCTCTTAGCAGCGTCCGGAGGTTGGGGAGCTCAGGCCGTGGGCCTTAAATGATTCAGACCCAGGCCCCCTCCCACAAATGCTCCCCAGAAGCCCAGCAGATCTGCCCAGCCCCTCCCTCGGGTGCCATCTGGGGAGGGGCCCTTGTCAAAGGCTCAGGTTTGGTCCAGAGACCCTCTTCCTGCCTCCGCTACAGCCCTGGCCTGTCTTCAGCAAGGACGCAACGCCTGGATGGCAGAGCTGGATGGCAGAGGATGCCGCGTCCCAAGTCAGGGTCAGCGCTCCCTGGGCGTGGCCAGAGGGGTCTCTCCAGGCAGAAGCGGGCAGAGAGGGTCTTTCTCCCCTCCCGGAGGAGAGGCACCAACGGCCCCGCGACTTCCCACCCCCACCCCCCGGAAAGAGGAGAGAGAACCTCGGCCCTCTCCCTCCCTCCTTCCCGAGCTGGGTGGGGCGTTACCCTCCCCAGGCGAGAGGAAAGAAAACAGGCTGTAATCACAGGGCAGCTTCCAGCCGCTCCGCTCGCTGCCAGCCTCAGGGCGCACAGGGCGTGGCCGAGAGGAACCAGGGTGAGCAACTGCCCGGACTTGTTCCTGCACTTGTCCAGGCCACGGGGTGTGTGTGTGTGTGTGTGTGTGTGTGTGTGCAGCCCTGCTCTGCTCTTGGGCCCGGCTTTCGGCTGAGGGCTGCCAGGTCAGGTGGCCGGTCGGACCCTCTAGGCAAGGACCCTTCACGCCGTGGGACGGCCTCCCTGCCCCCCACCGCAAAACAAAAAGCTGCTAAGCCAAAGAACGAGCGGGCAATCGTGCCGTTAGGGCAGAAAGAAAGAAAGGTGAACGAGGGGGAGAAGCCAGACATGGGAAGAGCGGGACCTTCCCCCCCCCACACACACACAGAAAGGAGGGGACAGCCAAGCCACACAGAGCGAGGTGCCTGTCCTGAGCGCAGAGCCTCGCTGCCTGGGGGCAAAGAGCCCTCCACAGCAGGCTGAGGGCTCCCCTGGCCTCGCCACCCCGACAGAGGGGAAACAAAACACTGGTGCGAGGAGCCCTTCGTGAAAGCCCCGGATCTAGAGGTTGACTTGGGGCACAACCCTGGAAAGCTGCCAGCCACACCCTGCACAGCCAGTCAAGGCGGCCGGGGCTCCTCTGCCAGGCCCGGGGCGGCTACCGGTTCCCACATTGGGGAGGGCCTCTCTCCTGCCTGCTTTTTTTCCCCCAAGCCCAAGAAAAGCAGGCCATCCAGGGCTGGCAGCTGCTCGGCTCAACCCTCGCTCCACCAGGGGCCGAGCGCCAAGCGTGCCATTACCACCAGGAGGGAGAAAGGGCCCGCACTGGAGCTCATTTCTGGAGAAGGGCTTCAGAAGCAGCAGAGGGCCCTGGGGCTGGCCAGGCAGGTCTGGCCAGCCCTAGGGAACAAGCCCTTCCCAATCGGAGCACGGGGCCGGCCCCCTTCGCAGACCCAGGGGAACGGGGGAAAGCCAGACGCACAAAAGAGCTGCTCTTCGGCTGGGGGGGGGGGGAAGCCATCGCCAGAAATTTTAGGGGTGGTGGAGAACAGAGACCAGCTGCCCTCCACCTGATTCCCAGAGGCTAAAGGAGATGAAATGTGGCAACTGCCAAGGACCGTCCGGGCCTTCAGACTCGGTGCCCCGGCTGGTCAACTGGAAAGGCCCGGTTTCCGAAGCTGCCTTGGGCCAGGCACTCGCTGTCAGCCCGGCCTACTCTGCAGGGAGAGTGCGGGACTCGCAAACGGAACCAATAAAAACATTCCTCCCGCCAACCTCCTGCCAGGCCTCCTCCCCTCCCACCCCCAGCCCCAACCCACTGAGCCATCTCACCGGTGGGGCGGAGGTTAAGGAAGGGGTAACTGGGCATCACGAGTTTGTTGAAGTTGAACTTGTAGGTGAACCTCTTGCCCTTCGTCTTGTGCAGGATCCGCTTGTTGTAGTAGTACCTGCCGAGCGGAAAAACCAAGGAAAGCCGCCCGTCACTCCCCTTGGGCCCAGGCCGGCAGCCCTTCTCTCCGGCCAACGGGGCCTTTACATCCCTGGGAAGCCTTTCCCCCCCCCACCCCCTCCCTGCCACACAAACACACGCGGAAAGGAAGAGCTCTGAAAATTAAGAGATTTCCCCTCTGTTATGCAAATGCAGGGAAGAAAAGCCGTGCCAATCGGGCCACCAGGGTTCAGAGCTTGGCACCGGCTCAAGTCCACTGCTCTGCCAACAGAGAGGGCGGGCACGGGGAAGATCCTGAGAAGGCAGCTGGGGGACGCCGGCAACCAGAGCTCAGGCCCCAGTTTTTTCACTCAGGTGGCTCCCCGGCAACAGAGACCCACGCGCCCAGGAAACCTTTGGGGCAGGCAGGCCCTCCAAAACTATGGGGAGCCTGCAGGGCTCCGGACTCGTGGCCTTCCAGGCAAGGTAAATCAATGAGCTTCGCTTCTGATGAATGCAGGTGGACTTTTCCAGCGAGTCTCAGCAACTCACTTGACGAAGGAACCCAGTGCTCAAAGACCCCGGATGGCAGGTCTCTCCCGGGTGCTTCCTGTTAAAGACTGCTGGCATTCCCCAGGCCGTAGGGGGGAGGGCGGGGAGGGGGCAGAGGAAGGGGTCACCGGAAAAACCTCCAGATCCATCGACACTGGGCCCCTCCTTCTCTGCCAGCATCACACTCACCTGAGAGCCCGGCTCAGCTTGTCGTAGTTCATCTGGGGCTTGCATTTCCTCCGGCCCCACAGCCGGGCCACCTCGTCCGGGTCCTTGATGACAAACTCTCCGTATTCGCCCTGCTGCCAGGCGATCACGTGCCGGAACTCCTCTTTCTGCAGCAGCTCCAGGATGAAGTGCCAGAGCTGGATCTGGCGGGAGCCCGGGCTGGATTCGGTCTTGTACGCCCAGTCAGGGAAATGATAGCCTGGCAGACCAAAAAGCAAAGCGCGGGGTCAGAATGAAACGGCTACCTGCAAGCCAACGACCCCTCTTCCTCCTCCTCCTCCTCCTCCTCCTCCTCCTCCTCCTCCTC